TTCACCACACGCTAGGGAGGTTGCAGCAGTTACGGTTCACGACCACAATAGAAGATACAGCCCTAGGTGCTATGGCTGTGGGGAAAGTGGCCATCTTCGGTCCAGCTGCCCGAAGCACACCCTAGGAAGGGAAGGTGAACGGTCTCAGAAAGGAAGTGCGGCTAACAGCACCACCCAGCAGCAGCAGGAATACGACTTTACTATCAGACACTGCAGCGGGAAATCTCACGGCAAAACAGATGCATTGTCAAGAAGACCTTGTCCTGAAGATGGCAACCATTGTAGTAGGCAAGGAAAGGAAGTGGTATCCGTGAGGATACTCAGAACAGACCACCTCAGCAACGGGTGGAAGGACAGCCTACGACATGCACAGCAGGAAGATCCGGACATCAAGCCGATTCTGGGATGGATGAAGGCCCGTGCTACCAAGCCTAAGTGGAAGGACGTCTCAGCGATGATTTCAACCACGAAAAGCTATTGGGCCCAATGGGACAGCTTGCTGCTTCAGGATGGAGTCCTGTGCCGTAAATGGGACAATGGTCGAGGAGACAGCTGTCGTTTGCAAATGGTTGTCCCTAAAGCTAAAGTGCCGAATGTTCTACAGCTGTTCCATAATGGTCGTTCAAGAGTCCATCTGGGAGTTAAACGAACTCTACTGAAGGTCCGAGAACAGTTCTACTGGGTCCATTATCGTGACGATGTCGAGGATTGGTGTCGTACATGTACAAGTTGTGCGGCCGTGCGGGGACCTCAGACACGTAGTAGAGGAGCACCGAAATTGTACAATGTTGGTGCACCACGGGATAGAACAGCCCTTGACATTGCGGAGCCGTTACAGAAAGGCGCAAGAGGGACTCCTAAGATCGTCCATGTGGATCGCTTGGCGCGTTATTATGGGGCCGATAATGCTCGGGACGAGCATGTCTTAGGAGGGGGCAGTGTTACGCGCTCAAGTCGACGATACACTAGCGCCATCTAGTGTCAGGAACGAGAGCGAGGGGAGCATTGAGAAAATGACATCACAAATCACTCAACCGACAGCGCCTAGTCGAAACTCGAACGCTCGGTACCTTGCGCGTGTTTACTTGAACATTCTGGATATTTCTTTGCTAATTTAAATAAGTAGGCGCTGCAACATGCGATTGGAGTAGTGTTGATTTGGCGAAACAAGCGAAGCTTCTGAGCTGAATAAAGTGAATTAGTGTGTTTAATTATTAGTGTTTTTAACTTTAATTTGTGTAAAGTAAATTAAAGTGTTAATTTAGGTAATTTTATCGGCAATTTTTATTGTCACGAATCTCAAGCTCGTAACAATATCTTTAAATCAAAAAAACTGCGCGTTGAGAATTATATTCGTTTACAAGATGCAGTTTCTAGCGACGCCAATGTAAACCCCAGAGATTTAGGTAAAATGGTAATTCTGCCCTCATCATTCGTTAACAGTCCCCGCTACCTACATGAGTACACACAAGACGCATTCGCCTATGTACGAACTTACGGAAGACCTGATCTTTTTTGTTACTTTTACTTGCAATGCCACATGGAAAGAAATAACCGAGAAGCCAATGCCGGGCCAAAAAAGTACTGACAGACACGATTTAGTTGCTAGAGTATTTAGATTAAAAGTACAAAAATTAACGTATCTTATTAACAAAGGGAAAATTTTGGGAGAGATGCAGTGCTTCATGTATTCAATTGAATGGCAAAAAAAGAGGATTACCGCATGCCCACATTCTAATATGACTTAAAGAGAAGTTGCGGCCCAGCCAAATAGACGACATAATAAGCGCCGAGATTCCGGATCCTGAGCAAGATAAAGAATTTTATGATACCATCGTCCGAAATATGATTCACGGTCCATGTGGAGCACGAAATTCAAAAAATGTATGAAAGGAGGAAAATGTACAAAGAAATTCCCTAAACAGCTATTAAAAGAAACAGAGCACAAGGACAACTACCCTTTATACAGACGCAGAGCTCCCGAAGATGGTGGCAGGAAAGTTACAATCAAATCTCGCTCTGGAGTGTTCGAAACCTTAGATAACAGCTGGATTGTCCCGTATTCGCCCATTCTATGTAAAATGTTTAATGCCCACATTAATGTAGAAGCATGTAGCTCTGTCCGCGCAATCAAGTATATCTGTAAGTACATAAATAAAGGAAGCGACCAACAATATTTAATCTCAGGAGTGAAGGTGAGGCAAATCCCGTTAATGAAGTACAGACCTTTCAAGCAAGGCGTTTATGTCAGCAGTAACGAGGCAGCGTGGCGTCTCCTTGGCTTCCCTTTACACGAAAGGCACCCAACAGTTACTCACCTTGCTGTGCACTTAGAAAATGGAGAGCGTGTATATTTCACCGAAAGAAATTTCCAAGAAAGAATTGCATCACCGCCGAAGACTACACTAACAGCCTTCTTTCAACTTTGTCATACCGACCCCTTTGCAAAAACGTTGTTATATTCTGAAGTCCCCAGCTATTATACTTGGAACACATCTAGGAAGGAGTGGAAACGCCGTATTCAAGGCGCGACTGTTGCAAATTGGCCCGGTGTAAAGTCATCAGATGCCCTTGGTCGTGTGTATTCCGTCCATGTAACTAATTTTGAATGTTTCTGTTTACGATTACTGCTGCACCATGTTCGGGGTCCTACAGGATATAAAGACCTTAAAACTGTCAACGGTCAGGAATGCGCAACTTATAAAGAAGCATGTGAAGCTCTGCATCTTTTAGAAAACGATAATCACTGGGATGAAACCATGGAGGAAGCTGTGCAGTGCCAGTCACCAGTCAAAATTAGGGATCTTTATGCAACTCTCATATCATCTTGCGGGCTATCTAATGCACATGAATTGTGGGACAAATATAAAGAGTACATGGCGGAAGATATTTTGCGAAGGTTACAGCAGACACACGCGAACATGACAAACAATGAACACATTTATAATGAAGCACTTGGAAAAATTGAAGATAAAGTAATGGCAATGGTAGGCAAAAAATTAAGCGTCTTTGGAATGATAAGCACTCAGCGAACAACCGAAAATGAACTAAGTGATGAAATTATACGTGAAACAAACTACGATATACCAGCTTTGCAGCAGCAAGTAGCCGAATATGTACCCCGCTTGCTTCCCGAACAAAAACGAGTTTTTGAAAAAGTATTAGGACAAATTGAATCTGGAAATGGTGCACTTTTCTTTTTAGATGGAGGAACTGGGAAGACATTTTTGTTAAATTTATCATTAGCGCAAGTACGGAAAGATAAAAACATTGCTGTGGCCGTAGCTCCCTCCGGTATAGCCGCCACGCTGCTAAGCGGTGGCCGCACTGCACTTTCTGTTTTAAAACTCCCTCTAAATCTAGCCCGGGAAGAATCGCCGATCTGCAACTTTAACAAAAATAGTGCACGAGGTATAATGCTACGACAATGCAAACTTTTAGTGTGGGACGAAAGTACAATGTCACATAAAAAAGCTGTAGAAGCACTAAATCGAACGTTCCAGGATTTGCGCAGCAATACCGATGTAATGGGAGGAATGGTGGTTTTACTGGCTGGTGACTTTCGCCAAACTTTACCTGTCATTCAAAAGGGCACACCTGCAGATGAAATTAAAGCAAAAGTCGTCTATTTTATGGAACAAGGTGACAAAATTCAGTTTAACTACGAATATGAGAGTGCATTTGTATAATGATATCAATGCTGGAAACTATGCTGACACACTGTTAAAAATTGGCGATGGGCGGTTGGAAACGGATGCTGAGGGCTGCGTTAAATTGACGAGAGATTTTTGTAATTTAGTACAGAGTCATTCCGAATTAATTGCGAGCGTATATATCAGATTTAACGAATAACATGCATGAAGAAGACAAATGGTTATGTGAAAGGGCGATTCTTGCACCAAAAAATGAGAGCGTTAACAAAATAAATTCAGATATATTAAGCGAAGTAGCAGGATAAATAACAGAGTATTTATCAGTAGATACAGTTATGGACACAGAACAGAGTACTTCATATCCCGTAAAGTTTCTAAATTCTCTAGAGTTGTCAGGTGTGCCCTCACATAAGCTTCAATTAAAATTAGGCGTCCCAGTCATGCTAATGCGAAATTTAGATGCTGCTCGGTTATGTAACGGGGCAAGGCTGCGTGTGACACATCTTGGACGGAACATAATCGGTGCTACAATTTTTACAGGCATAGGAAAAGGTGAAAATGTTATTATCCACGGATCCCTATAATTCCCACAGATCTTCCTTTTAAATTCAAAAGGTTGCAGTTCCCTATTAAGCTCAGTTTTGCAATGACAATTAATAAAGCGCAAGGGCAAACGTTACAGGTAGCGGGGGTCAACTTAGAAAAACCGTGCTTCTCTTATGGTCAGCGTATATCTATAGCATGTTCGCGTGTGTCAAATGCCCAGAATCTCCACATTCTTACCCCGAATGGAAAAACATATAACATTATGTACAGTAGCGTCTTAAAATAGTGTTCAGTTAGTTTTTTTTTTTCCAAAATTCCCACAATCAATTAATCAGAATTCCCACAGATCTTCCCTTTCAATTCAAAATTTCCTATTTTGCTCAGTTTCTTTTCAATTCCAAATGCTGCATCTCTGACGGATCTTTTATTTGGCTCAGTTTCCTTTCAATTCAGAAAACTGCATCTCTAACGAATCAATTTAGTTCAGTTTCTTTTCAAAAGTCTGCATCCCTGACGGATAATTATGCTCAGTTTCCTTTAATTAAAAAAATATCCCATTTCCATTGGAATAAACAGGCTATTTTCATGCTTTCCTATACGCTGCGTTTCAAAACATTTAAATAGGCTGACGAATCAATTTTGCTCAGTTTCCTTTTAATGGCTGCATATCTGACAAATCTATAAAACTCAGTTTTCTTTCAATTCAAAAAGCAATGGATAGTTCATTTCCCAGTGACCATGCGGGCGAAGCCGCGGGTAACAGCTAGTATATTTATAAAGCAATCATTTTTATTATTCCAGATGGATCCATCGTTGTGGCGCAACATGTCGTTTGTTCAAGTACGAGTATCAGCAGCACAGCTAGCTGGCATCGTCCGACGACAGCCCTTGTCACTCGGCCTCGAGTGGTGCCATTTAGCCAGGAGACAGCTTGCTTGGTGAGTTTTCTATTAAATGATGAGTAAAAAGTATTTTAAGTATGTTTTAAAGTTTTTAACTCTGCTCGTAGTTTTGATGACAGTGCAAGCACCTGAGTCTGACCCTAATGTTGGCATGGATGGTGGTGAAGGAAATCTTTACCAGAGACCCTTTTTACTGGAAATGAGACATTCCATTTCGTTTCTCAGGGCTTGCAACGCATCTGCATTTTGATTCTTAATTGAAGATAAATGATGACGTCTATGGGCCACAGCATCCACTTACTGTTCTCTGTTCGAGTACACTGCTTTGTTCTGGTCTGAAGGGTATAGAGAGGCAGTGTAATGATAAGTCTTGAGGCATTTCATCTTAGTCTTCATCTATCGTCCTTTGTTTGAAGATGGTTGCAGGTGTCTTGCACTTACCATCAGGTGGATTGTAAGTTGATTTGTCACTTGAATTTCATAAAATAAATCAGATTAATATATCTTAGACGTGTATCTAAGATATAATATATGTTTTAAGTATCAAAGTTTGTTAATGCACTGAGCAAACCCGGAACCCGGAAGTTATGTTGTGGGAAAGTTATGTTATGTACTGCTTACAGTTATTGGTCAAGGGGCTATTTTATTCCAAATCTAAGCAAATACAACAATTACAATTAATAAGAGATATTTTATTTATTAAAGGCTCATCAACATTACATTTAACAAGTTTGAAGTCCAATAAGTGTTTTAATGAAAGATTTGCTCAATATGAAATTAAAACTACTACAACTGTGATCATATTGGAACAATATATCATAAAAACAAACTACATTTAGCAAGTATTACTGAACTAACTGCTGATGGTTAAAAATATCAGTTTTGTTCGTATTTTTGTTAAAAAAAATTAGTACCTGAATGACTTAGTTTTCCTTGGCGTTAGAAAAGAAAATTTTAGAAAATAAAAATACCACATGGATAAAAACAATTTTACGGATTTTATCGCGCTTAATTTTAATTTTTTTAATCTCCGAGGTTACGGGCAAGATTGGGGTAACACCTCAGTCCCCTTCTTCCTTTGTGACTATGGGTGCTATAAAGTGCTCGAAACGCCCGGAATTAAAAAAATAAAATCACACGTGACTCGAAATTATCACTAAACTCGCTATCATTTTCTAAGAAGCTATGTCCAGAAACCATAAAACCGTGGGGTGATTTTCTCTAAGTTGTCATTTTTTTCTAGTTAATCGAGCCAATTTCGAGAAAGCATTACATGTATAATTAAAGTATAGGATTTACTTGATATTCCGGTTTGGAAGAGCACATAACGACAAGTAAAAGTGTATAATGAGCGTTCGTTTCAGGCTGCTGGCGCGGCTGCCCACGCTGCGGTCGCTGTCGCTGGCCGGGTCGCCGGCGGAGGCGGCGCTGGCGCTGCGGTCGCCCGCGTGTCCGCCGCTCACGTCGCTGGACCTGTCGTTCGCGCGCTGCTTGGACGACGCGAAGCTGCGCGGCGTGCTGGCGCCGCCCGAGGCGTCGCGGCCCGGCGGCGGCGCGCGCACTGGCGCCGAGCCCTCGCGCCTCGCCGCGCTCGCCGTGCTGCGTCTGCCTGGCACAGACATCACCGACGTGGCCATGCGCTACGTCGTGCAGGTGACGTCACCGTTCCACTGGCGCCACGCGCAGGTTAGGTACGGCGCAGGCTGTTCCCACCGGCGCCGTGTCAACGTCAACAAATTTGATGCTCTCCGGCGCTGAATTTAGGATGAAACGATCAGATACGTCGTGTAGGTGACTTCACCGTTCCACTAGTGACACGTGCACATTTAGGTTCGGCCGAGGCTGTTCCAACCGGCGCCGTGTCAACGTCAACAAATTTGATGCTCCTCCGGCGCTGAAATTACGATGAAACGATCAGATACGTCGTGCAGGTGACGTTACTAGCGATACGTAGATGTGTAGGACGGAGGCAGGGACAAGGGAGCGAAATTTTAAACAAGTCAAAAATAAATTTTTAATTAAGTCCAATAGTTACTCAAAGTTTTTAACGTCTTTCCATTGTTTTGTTCCGTAATCTCAACATTTTTACTCCAAGCGACATATATTCCGACAATCTGAGTACGTGACCCTCTGTCCCTAGAGCTGCCACTTATGACTTGTAAAAATTTTCATAATCAGTTTAGCGAAAGTCCAAAAAATCAAGTAAACCAGCCAAACAAAGCTAATAAGTTAATTAATATGACATTATCATTCTTGTATCATTAGTTCATTAGTCATTACAAAATTACAGCACTAAGAATTTCAATACAATATTCAAAACAGTTCTGAGCTAATGAGACTTACTACATGTCTTACATGGCCTTTTGGTTCTACAAAAACTAAATAAAAAATTTGACGACTCCGTGGCGTAGTGGCTTAGCAATGAGTGGCTGCGCTAGGAGTCGCGGGTTCGAATCCCGCACGGAACAAGTATTTGTATGGCCTAAAAGTAATTGTTCCGGGTTTGGATGTTTGTCCTTGTGCAAGTTATGTTTGTAAACTGCCCCCACGATACAAGAGAAAATCCTACTGTAGGGGTAACGTTTTATAAAAAAGAAAAAGAAAAAATATTAATTTTTTCCAGGCGTTGCCAAAACTTGTCGAACTAGACGCATCTTCTTGCGCCCGACTGACTGACGCAGGAGCGGCACAATTGGCGCACCACTCGCTACAACGACTCTCACTGGCCGGCTGCAGGCTGCTCACTGAAGCCGCACTCGACCATCTAGCAAGATGTCCTAATCTCGTCCGGTGAGTTTGTAACTTTGTTCAAAAACATTTTTAAATAGATTTTCATAGTTACATTTTGTATGAAATGATCTAAGAAAAGAAGTGCCGTGTAGGTGCGGCCTAAGATAATCTGTATAATATATCCCATATACCGTGGGTGTCGTAAGAAGCGACACTTGGAAACTGAAACAGGAAATGAACAGCACCATTTACTGGTAGGAACGCAACAATAATTAAAAAAAAAACCATTGAAGTAATATGTACTTACATACTAGAACAGCTGTTTCAAACAAAAATGTGCACTACTCTGTGTTCGCGCGGTTGGTTTTTTATCATAGAGTAAGCATAGGTAGAATGATCAGTAGGTAAATTAGTAGATTCGTATTGTTAAATAGGTAAATTATATCGAGAACAATTTTTAAGTTTTGTCATTTATTTTGTATATTATATTTGCTTATTTAATATAATATTACATAATATTATATCACATTTTAATGATATTTTTATCTCAATATTTTAAAAGGCTATGTCAAATATAAAAAAAAGATACTAAATGTATGTTTAACAAAATTTATTAATATAACATTTAAATTACAAATATATTTATTTAAATTAGAATAAGAGTCGTTCATAAATGCTGGGCACGCGAGAGTTAAAAATGGACGAACTTATTCCACTTTGACTTTGATGTGGAAACCTAAAAATAAAATAAAAGAATAATGAGCGGATTTAAATATAACAAATTTAGCCTAATTACGTTAACTTATATATGTTTCTACAAAAAAATGTGTATATTAATATTTTCGTCTAAGTTAAGTACCAACAGAAATGTCGCATCTGAACAAATTAATTTCATAATCTATATTCGACACGAGATGGGTCTAATTTGTTATATTATTAATATTTAATAATAATAATGATTATCTTATTAACCGATGAAAAGTAATTCTTTGGTTTTTACTGACATTTCTTAAATTATTTGTGCAATATCTAAGTACACACGACGGCTTATTTTTAACAAGAGATTTTTTTTAAATTAACACAATACGTGACAACTCCACAAGCGCCTAGCGAGTGACTCACAGAGTACATTGTATATACACGAAATAGAGACCAAACTTCAAGGCTAAAATTGGAAATGCATCACTAGCGCCCCTAGACTTTGAAGTTGGTACTAATGTCATCGACTATATAACCTAATAGCTACCTACTGTATATGTATGTTTATAATATGTATGTATACGTAGCTGCTATATATTACTATTCCAACTTTTCCTTTATGATTTGGTTTAATAATTTCGTAAATAAAACAAACAACATTCAATTTAAAATATTTTATTTTTTTCTATAGTGCTCACAAATTTTTTTTTTGATTTGAAATTTATCATTCATATCGTTAACTTTTGATTTACCTGTCATAATTTTATTTATATTTTTACAATAATTAAAAATCATGAATCTTAATATTAAATTTATTATAAAGTTGACATTTCTTTGTTTGTGTTCTATGCAATGGGAGAACAATTCAAAATCTACTATAAAAATTATACAGCGCCATCTAGCGAAGACTTAAAATATTTGCAGCACTACCATTGCCCTCTGAACATGAGAGTTTGAATTACTAATTTTAGTATGCTATTCATTTCTCTATTTTTGTATTAAGATTACGCACCCTTTTTTTTTTTTTTTTTTTTTTTTTTTTTGCGGATGGAAAATCATCTAATGACCCCTTTCGCTCTGGGTGGAGCGTAAGGGAGTGTCAGACTTTTACTGACTAAAAACCATCCGTGTTCCTTCAGTGCCCTTACGTTCCGGAGCCGCGGTATCTCTTTCGAATAGCCCGCAGCCCCGGCAGGCGTCGGCCCTTGCGGGCCCCATCACGCTGCTGACAGCTATTTGAGGCGCGCGTGGAACAAAACGCGCCGTCGACACGGCCTGTCGTCGTTAGACGGACGGACGACGAGCTACCCATTGCTCGCCGTCCACAGGCCCGCGCCTACGGTGGCCGGGGGCCACGACGTAGCCCCCGACGCCCGGGGCGTCTCCCGCGGCGGCCTGGGAGGAAAGCTGCTGCTCTTTCCTTCTCCCGCTCCGCCACCTCCTTCGCTAGCATCACTGCTTCGCAGAAGGTGGTGACGGCATCCCATTCCGTCTCGCTCCGGACCATGGCTTCGACCAGGGCCGGACGCGAGAGGTCGCCGCCGCCTATCGCCGCTACGAGGACACGGCGGTGCTCCGCCCAAGCAGGGCACACCTCCACGGTGTGTTCCACCGTGTCCTCCGGTCCATCCTCGCAGTGGGAGCACCCGGGCGTTTCCTCCCGCCCGATTCGGTGCAGGAACCTCCCGAACACACCGTGTCCGGTGAGGACCTGAGTCAGGCGGAAGGTGAGGATGCCGTGGCGTCTCTCAAGCCACTCCTCAAAGAGGGGTCTTATCGCCAAGATTACGCACCCTGGAGTGACTGATTAAAGTACGGTGTATGCACCGCAGTTTGAATGGAACAGAGTAGCTGAATGCAGTGTCGCCTCTAGTACGTAGTACATAATAGCTCAATGAAAAAAAAACAACTCAACTGAATTTATTATTTTTATTTTATAATGACCTAAAGTTGTTAAAGACTTGTTGCATATTATAGGTTTTATATTAAAAAGCTGATTTACAGTCACCAGCTTTTACAGAGAGCAAATATTAAAAGAGTTATAAAAAGTTACATTAAACTGGTTGCCAACCCGTGTGCAAAGTATGGCAACTATAACAAATGTCCCTCCCATCAAGCAATCTATCAATATTATCAGCAGTCGAATTTTGACGGACTGTAATGAATGAATGGTGAAATGAAATGGCCTAAAAACAAAATAAGTGTTATTGCGGGATCACACCTCCGGATCATCGGATATATTATGGTCGATGCACCTGTCCGCAGAGTTAATGTTACGATCTATAGCATTTAATGGGAGAAGAGTGAGATTAAGCGATTCCATAATGCGTGCCGAAGCTTCGTACGTTTTGACACTAAAAAGTTATCGCGATAAAAGCTGTGGTCATATTAGCGGCTTCGATATTTCGCATAAACAAGATGGCCGAAATCATTTTCAAACGTTTAACTATGGACGACGAATTTCTTTACTTCTGCATGTGTACTAACAATTACATAATGCATTTATTAAAAAATAAAGAAAGAACCTAAAATTTAAAAAGAGGAATTCCAGTACCATTTCATCACTCCACTCCATTTTACACAGCCACCTGCAAGTCTTCGTCTGAAATGATTGAAAACCACGGCCGAAATGAACAACGCTAGTCTGACCAAGCAGCGCGATATGTTGACGCGCTAAAACCCTTTGATGTACCGCCACCCGCGGGATAATGGTGGACATATATGCTACGAGAAATCGTTACGATCAGACTGTACAGTTCGAACGGTACAGTTTATCGTACATGGCATACAAGCCATATACACTACGAGAAATCGTTACGATCAGACTGTACAATAAACAGTGCCGACGTACACGTGTCAGCTATTGCTTCGACGGACGACGTTTTAGCAGTTGTTGGATTTTTCGCCCTGAAAGAAAAAAGTGAAGCGCAAAAAGCGTAGCATCTGGTGCGAAGAATGGCTAATGAAAAGAGGTGTTCATTCTCATGTCAATTTGTTGGCGGAATTAAAGATGTTTCCAAAAGACTTTTAGTATTCCAAAGACAAGGTTCACTGCGATATAGCTCAATAAATTGTTTTAGCCATTCGCGATTAGTTTGAGACGCCATCTCCATGACGCGTGCGCACATCCACCCGAACTGCGAGTGACAACAAAACTGAACACAAAAACTGACGAGCGCATACACGTTACGATCAGTCGGCACAGTTCGTCCGATTCCGATTGATCAATTGAAATTTTCATACTGTTCCGTTCGACTGCACAGTCTTAAAAAATCGGACGAAACTACAGTTTTATCACATACATGTAGCGATTTATCGGTACCGTTCGAACTGTACAGTCTGATCGTAACGATTTCTCGTAGCGTATGTGTCCACCATTACACACGCACACGCAGCCCAAATGTTCGCGACGATAGCGACGAATAGCCGGTCACATGTGCGTGTATCGATAGCCGATAATAGCTGATCACATCTGCGTGTATCGTGTCGCTTTGTGGCGATAGACGCAGATGCGGCCCTAGCATTAGTATAACACGATAATTGTTTTTTTTAAACAATGCTTTTATCATTTACCATAAAATCTTTTATTGTAATGAAATAACTATAAAATTGAATGAATCAGACTTCTTTATTATTAATAATTCAATATTAACTTCAATAATTGCAATAGTATGTATGTAAGTACATGAAAAATGTAAAAAAATATCAAGTATAAAAGGACTAACAATTGTCGGACAGGCCGGAAACCTAATTTGGCCGCACACGCAAAAAAAGCCTGACTGTCCGGCTTTATCCGGACGCCTGACAACGCTGCCTTCCGCCATAATACTACTTTACTATTAGAATTACTAGATGTAGTACTGAGGGATCGTGTAAATGGCGCTGTTATAGAATTATTTCATTAGTAAAAAAAAAACAACATAGTAGTTTAAAATCAAGAGATACGAAATCAATAGATTAATACTCCCATTATAGAGGTTTTTAAATAAATTAGCAACTTTAAGGTAAAAACCTTTTATAACAAATTTTACGAATGAAATAATTCTGTAACATCGCCCATTTACATGGTCTCTGAAGTACTACACCGACCTGCTAAGACTACGTACTTCTAATAGTAAAGTAGCATTGTGGCGGAAGCGGAAAGCATTTGAATAAATTCTCTTAATTTATTTCTCGTATTATCTTAATTCTCGTAATTTAATAAAGTTACAGCCTATATACGTCCCACTGCTGGGCACAGACCTCTCCTCATTTCTGAGCGGGTTTTAGGGCAAGAAAGTATACGCCGCGCAGCCAAATTGCGTGTTTGCGAACTTCACATGACTTCGAAAATATTTTTTTTTACTCAGACATGCAGGTTTCCTCACGATGTTTTCCATCACCGCCGAGTACGTGGTAAATCACCACTTAAAATTGCAATTAACAATATCATTGGTGGCTGCGGAGATCGAACCCGGGTTACTCGCGTTCTGTTATATTTACAGCGAGCGTTAATCATCTGAGCTACCACGGCTCTTTCGTAATTTAGTAACAAGACTAATTATAATAAAATTTTTAGGATTTTAGTTGTAAAATTCTTATAAATAACATTTCCTTCTTATAAACAAAAAATAATTTTTCTGAGGAGTCTACAAAGGTGACATTTGGTTAATGGTTATATCATGTGTTGGTCAGGGACTACACAGATCACAGAGTACTGAAGTCTGAAATGAGCCATTTGTATGATCGATCCCAATGACCCGATACATGTGATGAAGTCTATTGAACTCACTTAAATAATGCATTACCACGCATTTTGAATTTAAAAAATAAAAAGGACACAATGTTCGAGATTTTTATTAATTAATTTTTCTTCACCATTTGCCCATATTACTTATTCTGGAACCTTCGTGTAATATATAATATGTAGAGATAAATTTTGCTCTAAAATGGGTATTTTGTCCACAGGCTGGATCTCCGACATGTACCTCTTGTTTCTACACAAGCGGTGATTAAGTTTGCTGCCAAATCCAAACATAACTTACATGTTAAGGATGTTAAACTTGTAGAGCTAAGGAAAACCTGATCCGATGGCAGCCCTGAGGAAGAACCAATGGCATCTGAGTAAAACAGACTTGGTGATATAGAGTAGAGTGTGACAGTGTGTTGGTGGCATAGGATAGTGGGACTTACACTACGATCATTCGAGTCATTGTATGATATTTCAGTACTACAATAGTTCTAGTCTAGTGAGTTTGCAGTGTTGTAGGTAACTGACAGTGGATTGTTTACTCAAATATCTTCTAATGGTAACTGTGACGAGATTTTAATGTGTGTTATATTGCTATACATAAAAGCAAGGTCTCCTTTGCACAATCGAATTAAATCTTGAAGAAAAATCAGGGTAAAATTAATACATCAACATTAGCTCTAACAATTGTAATGTTTTTGAACAGCAACACATACACTACATATCAGAAATACTTTCTATGCTATCAACATACATATATATGCGAATTGTAGATATTAAAAAAAAAAAGACTTGAGATCCTATCCTGTAATATTGTTGAAGTGATACAGTTTAAACAAAAATTATATTATTATATAAAATTGTTCTCATTGGAGAGCCAAAACCATTTTTAGTGAATAAGAAGTGATTGTACATGGATACAATTCTGCAATGTCTATATTAAACCAAATATATTTGACCATTGCATAATGGTTTTACTTATGTGACATGTGAAAATAGTTTAGTTTCTTTAAGAAATTTACGATTAAATTGCATCGGCCGCAATTTACATTGATTGCTAATGTGAGTTGTATTATACTTAGCTAACATTACTTTATAATATACATTATGAAATAACTTATGCGAAATACCACATGCTTCGTTTTAAATAGAATAAATGTTCACAGATGTCTAATGCTATGGTTTTATTTCCATAGAAATACTACTAGCTGAAAGATTTAATCGTTTAGTTTATTATTTTACACTTTATAAAAACAGATATAACGCGTAAATCAGTGTTGAAGACATTTGCATCTGGAGCAATTTCGAATAATATTGCTCTATTGATTATTACGTATGTACAAAAACATTTCAAAGCCAATATTAGTGTTATTTTTACGAAATGATTATAATATGGTAGGGATTCATATAGATTACACCATAAAAATATCTGATTCTAAGTGGTGCATTGATTAGTTAACATGAGCATTAATATTTTACTTTTCGATGTTGCTGAATCAAATTTGCTGCTATTAGTAGTGTCTCGAAATTTTTATTTTTATTTTTCAAAGTAAGTTAGATCTATATTAGTTATCAAAAATTTATACAAACGATATTTATTTTACTACAAGAAACTATGACGTAATGTACCGGTATTCTAATACTCTCTCCGATACATTGACATGAGTGTCGAATGCACGTGGATTTTTTATTGAGTAAAATAAAAAATTAAGCATATGTAAGTAACAAATCGAGAAATGAAATATGTCTAAGTTAATACCTACATATGTCATTGTATCACGTTAATAGGTTCACAAAAATAGAGTTAAAAATAAAAAAGTGTCCTTTTTGAACACAGCTACACTACTATAATACAGAATAAAAAATAATTAAATTCAGCAAGTGTAGGCGTGGGCGTGTCCCTAAGTGCGTTTTGCAGTATGCATGTAGAAAATAAATTGATATATCTACTTTATTAATTGTGCCAAGATTGAATAGTGGAATTATTGCTAAATACTTGTGAGTTTAAACAAAAAAAAAAGAAACTGATATCAAATTTCACCATTGCTAACTTGTCCACATATTGTTCTTAATTAGAATGTGATTTCCTTTTGTGTACATTTTACGTACATTATATTTATATTATATCCTAGTTTTATGATTTAACATGACTGTTTGTGATGTAAGTCTGAGTGTGTAAAATCAAAAATTGAGCATAACATATAACAAGTGTGAACAGTATCTTATAAGTATTTTGTGAATTTTTGTGCAGTCATTAGATAGACAAATATCACAATACTCTAATGTGTATGAGGCTTTATATTATTGCTTAGATCAACAGAGATAGATGGAGCGCTGAGTACATTTCAATTGACATGGTTTCGGTGAAATTTTACAGGTTTTAAAAAGAAAAAAAGAAAAGTGTGTTTCTTACGTGGTAGAGCCACACTGCAACTAATTTGTGGTTGTAGCACGAATGGGTCAGTTTGACTGGAGTAGGACCACGCTCTTACAGAATACCAGCGTAAAATAGCGGCTTAATGCTGTGTTTCGTATGCGTAGCTTAATGCAGTGAAGTGAGTGTAGAGAATCGGAGACCCTTTTTACTGGAAACAAGGCATTCCGTCTCAGTCGTCAGGGGTGACAACGCATCTGCATTTTGATTCTTAATTGAAGATAAATGTAGATAGATGTTCATGGGCCGCATTCACTTACCATCAGGTGAACTGTGTGCTCTTTATACCCTTACTCTATAAAAAAAAAACTGAATTCGTGTCAAGAAGTCACTATACGTAGCGCTGCATCTATTTTTATTCTTTGTTGGTCTGAGCATTATTGTGTATACTTCAGTGACATTTTTTATTTGTCAGTTGGCTAAAAATGCAGTCGAGTAACTTTAGTCAAGCCAAAAATATTTAGTTGTAATTTCTTTTATGTTTTCGGTTTAAGTTTAATCAATTTTCAGCAATGCGTTTAATCATACAATTTCATTTGTTTAATGAAGCACATTATTTTTTCTGCACAATCAACGCTATTAGAAGTTATTAATTTTATTGCATGCTGTTGCATAGATATATATTTTATTTGTTATTAATACAATATTTTTTCTTCAAGCAGTCTTTGGAATTCAAGGCTTTTCTTTATATTGACTAAAGATTCATAGAAATAAAGTATGTGACCTTAACAACCCCAAGTATTTTCTTTTATAATTTACATATATTAAAAGGTTTGGTGCAGATAACGTTGTGGTCCTAAGCTTTTTAATAACTCATGCCTATTGCATGCCTTAAGCGCAAAGCGCGTAGGTATGTTGTACTAGTGCCTAAAATTCAAGAATCCAACGTTTTGTCGCTTTAAATCGGGTCCAACAATCAAATTGAACATATAAATAATATAAAAATCACATTGTCATAAAGATGTGATTGTAGAACTTAATATTTTTTATCGATTAATTTCTATTTTTATATTTTTTTTGCGCCCGAAGCAAATATGGGCAACCCTCCGGAAAACTGGGGAGGGAGGTGGGGAATGCTCATAGCATACCACGCAGCCGGCTGCGTGGTTATGTGGAGACTTTTACCCACTAAACACCGCCTTTTAGGGACTAGCTTAACGGTCTAACTAGAGATCTCTAAGCCGTATACGGACGCGCCCCTCCTTGGCAGAAAGGAGGGCGCACGTTTTTTACATTAACAAAAGTGGTTTTAGTGGCTTGTGGTGTAGATTTATCACGTCCGCATGGAGTGGTAAATACGATAACTTTTGTAAATATCAATTGTTCAACTCAATCTATTTTTTAATCTATTCATTGATCATGTGGGAATTTATTTTTATTTTTTCGGCCTCGGACGCCGTCGCGAGTGGGTTAGGGTTACTGTATCTTTCATATATATTTACAGCGGCTCGTGATAAAAAATATCGATCGCTGTAGAAATACAAAATATTCCAAAAACTAAATTTGATTAAAAGTGTTTTCAATGAACAATAGTAAAAATTTTTTGAAGATATATAGTAAAATTTAAAAAAAATCTATTGTATGAGAATTTTTTTCTACATTATTTGACAATCATATGAGTCGTGCACTTTTAGATTTTCGAAACTTTTTTTATTAACATTTGACATTAAACTATCGGAAATTTAAAAGTGATAGTAAGATGGTTATTTGTGAAAACTTGTTTAAATTTAAAAATACTTTAAAAATTGACGTATAACATGAGCGCTTAAGGCATGCACACATACATAACACATACATAAGGGTTTACTAAAAGTTTTTTTTTACATTATTCAAATAACATTTAACACAAATATCGAATCATTATTTGAATACATTGAAAAAAAAGGAGTTTCCTTTTTTCATACAATCATATTGTTAATTATATTATTATTGTCGTAGCAAAAGGGTAAGCAAAGAAAAATATCAAATTAAGATGTTTGCTAGTTATTTCAAAAAATTCCCATTTTCTTAAACTTTTCGTTAGTCTCCTAACGAAAAGTTCAAGAAAATGGGAATTTCACTACTAATTACACTATTTCACTATAACGTTAATATTTTATGTAACTAATGTAGTGTACGTACATTATTTGCATAAAATCTAGTACTTAGTTCTATTGTCAATGTCAAGCAATAGGAATTTAATCTTTACAATAATTCGTTCAATAACTTTTTGGTAACCAAAATTTAAAAGCTGCTTTCAAATAAGTATAAAACATATAATATTTTCACATTCTGAAATTGAAGGTTTAATTTTAAATAAATAAAGTAATTTTATAATGTTAAAATAATTTATTCTTTAAAGTGTTTTGAAGTCTGCTTTGACTTTTTATTAAAAGTAAACTTTATCAATAATTAGATTGTATATTGATAGCTATGACAACACTTAAACAACCACTAAACTACTCTTTTTTACATTACAAATAGTCTGGTATTGTTAAAAGGAGTTACAGCCTTTATATTATGTTCCACAGCTGGGCACAAGCCTTTTATATGTGGAGCAATTAATTCTCTATTTTCCTCTACTCTAAAAACCCATAGAAAAATGAGACTTAGGTCTCGCGCAGCAGTGAGACGTATATGGATTGTTATTTTTGTTTATTTGTTGTCAGTTAGCTTTATACACCTTCATATATTAAGTTTAAAACATAGCAACACCATTAATTGCTTCTTTGCTACGAGATGACAGTTTAATTTAAATGAATTACAGACATGCATTGCGACTTATAGTTCGGAAAATTAAAATTCTTATATATATATTCTTTTATATATATGGTAATTAATAAAGAATGTTATATATATGTATATATATATATATATATATATATATATATATATATATATATATATATATATATATAACATT